TATTTTTAACCCAGGTGCAATGGGAAGGCACGGATTGAATTTTAACCCTGGAGAGTGACACTGATGGGATTTAAACTTGTATTTTTTAAAGTTTAACCCTGCCTTTCCTGTGGAGAAAAATTTGAAAGAAAGAGAAAGTCGAAGTGATGCGGTTTCTAACAGACAATTTCATAAATTCATGCCAGGCACAATGGTATCTTGAACCAGGCTGTTTGGAGCAGAGCCAGAGAAAAGAGAGGGCAGGCAAACACAGATGTACTTTAGAAACAGAAATGAAATAAATTGCTAATAATTTGGGTATGACATGGAATGGAGAAAATGGAAGGATTATTCCAGGTTTTTAGCCTGCATGCATGACTAAGTGGTGGCACTATTCATTTAGACAGAAAAAATTGACATAATCAGGTTGAGGAAGGTGGTGGTGAAGAGATCAGGATTGACATATGGTAATTTAGCAATTCACAGAAGCCTCTAGATATACAAGAAACAAGTTTGGGTTGAAAATACGAATGTTGGCGTCATCAGCAAAGAAATGGCATTTGGAGTCAAGGGAAGAAATGAAATCCTCTAGATAGAGAATTGAGAAGAATAAAAGTAGAGCCAGCAGTGAGTCCTGGAGAACTTAACCCTGGAGAAGGAGAAAGCTGCCAGAGAGACCAGGAAGAAAACGGTTAACGGGGAAAAGGGAAAGGAGGAAAGCCAACGGTGTGCCATCTTGGTGCAAAAACCAAGAAAGAAAAGGGTTTTAAGAAAGTCAAGTGTGTCGAATGCTGCCGAGGTTGAACAGGATGAAGACAGAACATCGGTGGATTTGGCAAGACAAGAACCCATCCAAGGCATCTCAAAATTAACCTGTGGAAAACTGAACTTGAACTCTTCCCCTGGAGAGGCTCAGTGTGTACCTCTTGGAGAAAAGTGTTCCTTTTCAGTTCCTCAGGCCAAAATCTTGGTGTCACCCCTGACTCCTCTTTCTTTCAGTTCCTGCCTCCAACCCACCAGCAAATCCTGTTGGCTCTAGCTTCAAAATACACCCACAATCTGCCCATGTCTCGCTACCTCTCTACCTATCGTGCTAGTGTATCTCCCCCCCCCAGATTATTGTAGAAGCCTCCTAAATGAGCTCCCCCATTCCAGTCCTCTCTCCCCACAGGATGATTTTCAATACAGCAGCTGGAGTGATCCTTTTCAAGGATATGCACTCAGAGGACAAGCCGAAGACCCTGTGAGGAGCTCTGTCCCCACGCACCCAGCCTCCACCCTCCCCTTCCTGCCCTCACCCAGGCTCCTTCCAACCATCCTCCTGAGTCTTGGGCTCCCGCCACACTAGCCTCCTTGCTTTTGCACGGGCAGCTCTCTGCCTGGGATGTCTTTCTCTATGTACCACACAGCTTACTCTCCAACTCTCAGAGCTTGGCTTCTCTTCCCAGGGAGGGGCCCCCTCCCCTATTTTAAGTTGTTTCCTCCAACCCCCTCCTCTGCTTTATATTTTTAGAGCACTTATAACCATTTGACTTATTATATATTTTACCTATCTGTTTGTTTAGGGACTGTATCTCTCCTGTCTTGCCAATCTTTGATGTTCATGTTTCTTTCCCCGGTATCTAAAACAGTGCCTGGCATTCAAGAAATACTTGTTGACCTGACAAATAAGGGGCAGGAACCATGGACGAGGAGAGAATGGGAGGTGGGGAAGCGCCATCAGTACACGGTGAACAGATGCTGGGAAGGGCAGCAAAAAAAAAACAAAACAAAAAATGGTACAATAGGGGTATGAGATCAAAGGAGGGGCTAAGTTTTCTAATGGGATATATGGGTAATTAATACTGATCCTATATCCTCTACTAAAAGGCTAGCTTATAATCCTATGTTTGAGACCCAATATATATCTTCACTAAGGAGATTAATCTGAGGATAATAAGATTAATTAATCAGAATAGACAATATAAGGGAAAATTATCTTCAATGTGCCATTTATTAGATAATAAACAGCCCTTCCTGCAAGGGACTTAGAGTCCAGTAATAGTCATCTAAAGTGTGATGATGATTCATTCAAAAATGATTTCACAGTAGGGCAATTATACATGTGAACACCTTTTTTTCTGAACTGGAATATTACCTGCTTGCAGGTAATAAATTCAAATTCAGGCAGTAAATTCAAATCCTATCCCCAAGCTAAACAGAAGCTTAGAGAAGTTAAGTAATTTGCTGGCATTGAAACTCAGGTGTCTTTGCCAATAGTCTACGTTAAACATGTGTTAATATTCACACCAGAATACACGCTTTATGTCTATTCTTTCTATAAAAATCAGGGAAAAAAAACCCTTTTCTAACTTGGTCCTTCATAATAAAATCCTACAATAAATGTTGGAAGGGATATAAAAGATACTACACTTATGTGTCAGAAGCCTGGGAATTAGCAGGAGTAAATGAGCAGAGACAATGCAAATAAATGGATGAATTGATCATTTATTTGCAAATAAATGGATGAATTGAGACAATGCTACACTCACATAAATAAATATGAGATCACCTAACAAATTAAGCGCCAAGGTCCAGGACTGGGAAAAAGCCAGGCTTCTTATTCTGCTTTTTTTCTCCCCCAAAGTCTTTGGACTATTTTCTATTAGCTTTCATCCAAGCTGTAAAAGGCAGAATCCTGAAGTGACCCCCAGGATTGCCACCCTGCATAATCCTCTGCTTCTGAGTGTGGGTGTGACCTGTCAATATAATGGGGTATCAGTCCCTTGTTAAATGACAAAGGTGATGGGAATGGCCACTCACATCATTACAATTAGGAGACTAAAGGGATATTCTCCCTCTGGCTTTGAAGAAGCAAGCTGCCCTGTTGCGCTGGGGCCCTGTGGCTTATGACCTGGGGTAGCCTCTAAGAGCTGAGAGGGACCCTGGCTGACAGCCAGCAAGAAAGGACCCCAGTCCTACAGCAGCAAGAAACTGAACTCTGCCAACAACCTTAATGAGTTTGAAAGGACCCCAAGCTCCTGCCAACCCCTCAATTTCAGCCTGATGAGACTGAGCAGAGGGTCCAGCAAACCCAAGCCAGATGCCTGACCAAAAGAAACCGTGAGATAATAAATGGGCATTATGGCAAGATGCTAAATTTGTAGTAATTTGTTATAGCGTGATAGAAAACTAAAACACAAGCCAATCTTCATCCCTTACACAGACACTTTGAGAGGTGACGTAACATCGCCATGAACTCACATCATCCCAGGGGATCATAATGGAAACAGAATTTTTCATTCTGAATTGTCCTAATTGTCCTGCTCTTTCAGACTTCCTTGCCTTTTCCCTTGGTATTATTCCCTGCTGAATTCCAATTCAGGCTTCCAAACCCAAGTCAAATGTTGCTCCTCCAAAGAAGAATTTCCTTATAGCCATGCCCATCCACTCCCAAGCACAACAAATTACTCCTATTCTTTGCTTCCATGATAGCAGCTTGTCTGGACATCTCCCCAAAACCCTGCCATGCAGGTTGCATTGTGGTAATCTTTCTTTTAGGACACAGCTGCCCCAGTCCCTGCACCGGGGCTGGCGTGGAGTGGGTGCTAAATAATTGGATACCGAGTAAAGAAAATGAGGCTCTGGAAAAACACAAGCCTCGCATGCCCAGGGAGCTGCTATTTCTCTTCCACACAGATGATCAGGCATCAGGTATTCACGGAAACTCGGAAAGCCTTCTCCATGACAACAGCTGGGTGGCTAATCAAGCACTTACTGCGCTAAAAGGGCAGATATTTACTGTCCCGAAAAAGCTGGTCTGAACTGGATAGGTGTGCTAGGAGCGACAGGCAGCAGGTGCCGGGAAGGACGGAGATTCTTCCTAAAGGGGTGACATGATTCGCTCTGATTTAAGCCCTGTGCTAGGTTTGCACGCTTGCCAGTTCAAATTATCTGTTAATCCATTCCTGACATGCGATGCCAACCTAAACAGACAACAATCCCACAGTTAGTTTTACTCAATGGCTTGCAACCATGGATAACAAGACAGAAATGAGAATCATTTTTTGCCCACATCCATGGCATTTACAGGCCTCCAGCGCAGATAGCATTTTTAGGAAATCACAGACTCAGGCAAAATGATGCATCATCAATCCATACAGAATAGCATTTGCTGGTTATGTATTTTGACAAAACTCAGAAAGAATTCATGTTTTTTCCTCGGAACCCCCTCACACGGGCAAAAGTCTGGAGTTCTCCCTTGTAGCTAACCTAAATTAACCATGCTACTGCTGTAGGATTCCCCGTCACTGGAGAAAAAGATTGTTTCAGAATCAGAGAGGATACAAAGCAAGGCATGGAAATAAGGCACCTGCTTGTCACCAACTCATAAGAACTAGATTCAGATTCTCTCTATAGATAAATCATTAAACAACAAAGTACTGCTTTTTAATAAAAGTATTACAATGACATTGCCAGAAACTTCAAAAAATTCTGGGAGGCAATGGTCTTGCCACACTAAAAGAATTTAATTAACATTTGTAATAATTAAAAATATTCCAAAAACATTTTTTGACACAAACTCAATGTCAGTACCTCTTTCGGCTTCCTTTGCGTTTATACAACATAATCCCTAAGAATCAAGTCAGATCCTAAAGGTCCTGCATTTTAAGGATTTTTTTACAAATACTGGTTGGCAGTGACTCAAAGAGGGAGCCAGCTGGGGACACAATTTCCTAAAGATCAGTATGGGAGAAGATGCGGGGGCTGGGTTCTAATCTTTCTTTAGGGATAATGCTAGATGCTCCTTTATTCATTCAAATATTAATGTACCAGACTTTGTGTGAGGTGCTAGGGCTACAGCTGTGAGTTAGATAGATAAGGTCCCTGTTCTCTTGATACTTACATTCTTATGTGGAGGCATGCATGTATATACCGTGAAGAGTAAGAAATGGGAAACAGAGGGAGGAAATAAAGTTTCTTCAGCACATATTATTTTAAGTACTACTGGAAACTTCCAACTGGGAGAATACAGTAAATACCTTCGATGCTCTGTGGGCCCACAAGATTCATGGCCTGGTGTGCTGGATACTCTACCCGCGGTCTGGCAATGCCCAACTGCTCCATAACGCCATGGAGCAGTCTCTGGATATCTGTTTCCGAGACCCGGTCAGGGCTCCTCGAGCTATACGCAGATATTGGAGTCCATCCAAATGTCAGCCAAAACACTAGGCCAGAGAGCATGGTAGAAACCATCACGGAGACCATTTTTCACCTGCAGAAAAAAGACCAAACATGTATCGACTGGCGACAATCAGCGACTGTGATGATCAATCACACAAGTGAGTGATTCAAGGACCACCCACCCAATGGGGGCTGCAATGAAAAAGCCTTAGGGGTTTGCTCTTGCCTTAAGTGTCCAGTCTAGGTGGAACACCTGCTGTGGAATGGTATTAAAGAAACGAAACAACCCAAGATAGCCAATTCCCTCTGCACATGGCAGCCTTGGGAAGACTAGCCAGGAATGGCCGTTCTCACTCCTTTTCTTCTCCTTGCAGCTCCCTGAAATTGCTTCATTACCCCTAACCCCACCAACCTCTCCTCTCTTAGCAAAGCAAGCAAACCAACAACAAGAACCAGCTTCAAATTAGAGAAAGGGAGAGGGTCATCGGGAGTTTTCCCAGTCTCAGGGGAAAAAAGAGGTCCCAAGGAAGGAGTCAGGAAGACACAAATGGTAAAGAAGCACAGAAAGGTTAGGAGCAGTGGAAGGGAACATCTTAGCTCAGCAGACATCCAGTACATGTGAGATCCTGAAGGGGATGAAAATACAGCCAGCTCAGGCCTGCCCTGCTAGGGGAGAAGAGGCAAGCTTGCTCAGCCACATACTGGCTGAGTGATCCTGGGCAAATGCCCCCGCTTCTTCTGCAAAACGGGCATGAGGAAAGCATCTGTGTTATAGGGTTGTTGTGGGCATCAGCACAATGCCAGGCAGAGCCCCCATACTGTCAATATGATGCTGGCAATATTGTCTCATGGTTCTAGAGGTTAGAACTTGAAGACCTGGTCATGATGAGAGGAGAGGGAGAAAACTGCTGCAGGGAGTCAACCTGTCTTAAATGTTGGCTTCTCTGGAACCAGAAGCCTGCAGAACAAGGGGACAAATATTCATGCAGCTTCCCTCTGCAGCTGTTGAACCTGTTTAAGATGGACGCTTCAGGCAATGGCTGTGCAAACCCTCCTTTTGACCATTCTTCTACGGAGGGGACTGGGGGATTCATTTTCTTCCTTGAAACTGCAATATTCATAACCCCCATTTTTATTCCTCTGTAAAGGCAAGGTTTTTTCCAAGCCACCCCTAGATATGAAACCTTGTTCCCCAAATTGCTGAAACAGAAAAGCTGCGATTCTGACGTAAAAGGCCAGAGGCAGACGCCAACCTCTCCAGCCATCTCCATCTTCCCCTGGCCCGCTGTGAATGCAGGATGTCTTTGTTTCGTCGAAACCCCTGGCCAACACCGTTCTGATTTGATGAACTACACCATTTCCTCCCTCGATACTCTTTCCCTCGTATTTATAACCAAACCTTCTAATCCCCACCCACTCTTTGTCTGTCCCCAGCCTCCAGCTCAAGGATTTCAGCAGGACGCCCCCTCCCCTCCCCATCCCGTAAAACCCGCGCGTCTCGGGTGGGCTTCAGGGGGTCGAGCAGGCATCAACGCAGAACTCACCGAGCGGCAGCCAGAGGATTCTGCTGCGGTCTGGGCCTCGGCGGGGGTCGAGCTGCGGGCCGGGTGAGCCGTATCGCGCGTGCGTCACCTCCCTCCTCATCTTAGCTCCGCCCCCACCGCTCCTCCAGCAGGTGGAGGCCGCCCCGCTCCGAGGCCCCAGAGCGCGACCCAGATGCTGGCGCCTCCTGACCTGAGCCACGCATTCCATGTACACATGTCCTGGAGACTCTTTTATCTATCGACCCTTGCGGAAGTAATTCACTTTTTCTCAAGCAATTATCTGAACAGTGTGTCAGCTCGCCACTTTTGCCCTTCACCCGCAATGCCACATCTTTAATTTTGCCACCTCCCATCTTTTTTTTTTCTTTTTAAGTCTTCTAGGTTGAAGAAGGGGCAATGATAGGAGAGACAAAAGATGAAGAGGTCCTAAGAAATTTTAATGATGGTGTATCCATCATAAGGGTGTTTCAGGAGCCCTTTCACTGAGCAGAAAAACTGGGGATTTTTAATACGAGGTGTTAGAAACTTCTCTTAGAAGCGATACACCAAAAAGCATGAAAACCTCTAGGAACATTAGTTCTGTTATATTTCTAAACTTCCAGACCAACTATCAAGATTTCTTTAGCCTGAAGAGAAATTGAACTTCCTGCACATTGCAGAAATTTATCCAGGTAGACCCAGAATTTTTTGTTGAGTACTTACGGAACAATCTTGAACATGTAAATTTAGTCCAAATACAAAGTTGAGATGTAAAACCATAAAATAGAGCATGGCACATTTCTTTCAAAACTGGGGATGAGTAAAGTACCCTGGGGGCCAGAGAATAACTATCTTGATGAGGCTAGAATCCAGATCTCTTTACCCTAGCTCCATGCTGCAAATCCTGCTCAGCTGTAGCATCTTGTACAAATTAGAGGGGCCCACAAAATTCATTCCCAAGACACATGGCCTTTTGGCTTAAAGCCAAGCCTCCTTTCTAGTGTCTTTTCTTCCATGGATGCTCGTTTCCAGCTTTTTGTTTCAGTGCTTGCAAATCAACAGGACAAATGCGGACTATTATTGGTTTTAGGCTCAAAGACCATGCTGGGGTTTAATATTATTTACACATACTGAAGTTTTTCAATTCAGAATTTTATCTTAACATTGTTTACTGTTATCTTCGTTTTGTGCTTGGAAAAATGGAGAAGCCATTACAATTTACAGCTTTTGTGTTGAAAGGAAATTGAGATACACCAAAAGGTTTGCTTCATATGAAATTTGGTATTTTAAAAACATATATATCCTGGACTTGATGATCAAACACCAATATTAAATTCTTAGTGATTATAAAATGTTGCCAGCCTGCTAACTTAAGTCTTATGTAATTGTATTTTTTGTTGCTTGTGGTAAACAAATTTGTATGAGATCTTTAGTCACACTTGCAAGAACAAAGTGAAAGTAATCCTTTAAGTTAGTGACTATGTACCATACTTTTGTGTTAAGTATGTTCAGCTAACATTTGACCAGATACTCTCATGAGCAATATTATCTTTTATATAAAATAGATTAATTCTAAAATTTAACTTTCCTGACTGTCCAAGCTACTCACCTTCATAGTCCTCCTATACTGTTAGCTTTCAGCTAACAAAAGTGGGAGTGACATGTGGGTGTTTTTTTAAATTTATTTTTAATATTTTGTTTGTCAGAGACAAAGAGCAAGCACAAGCAGGGGGAGCGGCAGGCAGAGGAAGCAGGTTCCCTGCTGTGCAAGGAGCTCGATGTGGGACTCAATCCCAGCACCCTGGGATCACAACCCGAGGTGAAGGCAGACGCTTAACTGACTGAGCCACCCAGGCATCCCAGGGTAGTTTTTTTTGTTTAAGATTTTATTTATTTGACAGAGAGAGACACAGCGAGAGAGGGAACACAAGCAGGGGGAATGGGAGAGGGAGAAGCAGGCTTCCCGCGGAGCAGGGAGCCTGATGCGGGGCTCAATCCCAGCACCCTGGGATCATGACCCGAGCTGAAGGCAGACGCTTAACGACTGAGCCACCCAAGCGCCTGTTTGTTTTTTTTAATGAATATCTTTCATTATTATCAATCTCAGAAAAGCCACTAATTCAGGTAATTGTACAGTTTATCTCCTGTGCCTTCTTACTGGACTTCACCCATACCCATGGGTATAAAATAACATCAGTACATTTTTAAAAGTTTATCCAGAGGGGAGGTGAAGTTTAAACAATTGCTTTGAATCAGACAACATATATTTCAGAGTTTATGAGTGTTTTCTATCTCCACTTACTATCAGAAATATCATAAACACCTGAAATGCATATCCAGTTTATATCACAAACCTGTTTTGATGTCATAAAACATGGTATTTATAGCTACAGGTTTTCAGTCTTTATATAAGTCAAATTCTTACTAGTAGTGAGAGGGTGCCTGGGTGGTTCAGTTTTTAAGCGTCTGCCTTCAGCTCAGGTCATGATCCCAGGGTCCTGGGATACAGCCCCACATTGGGCTCCCTGCTCTGCGGGAAGCCTGCTTCTCCCTCTCCCACTCCCCCTGCTTGTGTTCCTGCTCTCGCTATCTCTCTGTCAAATAAATAAATAAACTCTTTAAAAAAAAAATTCTTACTAGTAGTGAGAAACGGTTGATTCCTAGGTAACACAGAAACAGGAAATAGCTTTGAAATAAAACAGATGTATTGCTAACAAGTAGAACTTGGTAAAGCAGACACATCTGATGACTTTAAATTTCTCTGTAAATATGGGCTGCTCTGAGTAGATGTGCAATGCTGTTCCATTCTGCTCCACTATCTGAATGTGGCGTTCTAATAACTGCCCTGCAAAACTGTCTTTAGTGGTTCGTTCTGCCTGCAACATTCCTTCCTCTAAAACGTCGAGAATATCCACCATTGTTGACATTATTCTTTCCTTAAGCACTTGTAACTTTTAATAATTTAAAATATAAATTTAGACAGATTTGCTTGACAATTTGGGTCAAATTCTAAGAGGTACTTTGAATTTCATCAGAGATTCAGACAAGTCATTTTCCAGAAGGTTACCTTTAATGTCTATGCTAAATAAATAACATTTACACACCAGACAAAACCATCATAGGCTTTTATAAGAATCAAAAGTTAAGAATCCAAGTTAAATGTACAGAGGTACATCAACTATTTTAAATTATAAAATCAAGTGTGTGCATATTAAGAAATCACCTTGATTAAAAATTTCCAAGCTTAATTATTCCTCCTTAAATAATTTTAAATTCTGTATCAGACAAAACAGCTACAAATGTATCTGTGCAAATTAACTTTAAAAACAGTATGGCTCAAAAGTCATCAATTATTTCTGCAGCATCATTCTGTAAGAGGACACTTGAGTCATTTTTCTGCTTTAGCCGTAATTCTTAGTCCCAGGGAACATAACTGTACACAACTACAGACAATATAAGCCTAACTACTCTGCCCCAAATAGGAGTAAAGGATTAAGATGCTATTGAAACAAGTTAATTTTTAGGGATTTTTGGCAAAAGCCATAAATATCAGTGTAATTAAAGAAATAAGATTTATAAGGCTTATCTCTTCCCTTTACATGTAAGAAATTTCTTGTAGAAACCTGACTTAGGAGGAATAACAGGAAATAGGTAACTCGTTCCACTCTTCCTATCACACTTAATATAAAATTCATACAATTTTCAAAAATTAATTTCTCACAAACCCAGCCAACAATTTTTCAAAAAGTGTAAATTCTGCTTTAAGAGATCACAAGTTTAAATACTGCCATAATTAAGAAAAACAAAATAGTCATTTATACAAGCATAAGAATTCAAGTTGCTTGTGCAGTGAAATTAAAATCTATCACTTCATCTTCCTGAGCTAACAAACTAACATGTAGATTATCCTGCCAGTCGTATCACCAACCACTAATTTTATTTACATTAACAAGTATTAACATTTATCAATTACAAGTCTACAGGTTTACTCGTTGGTAGTAGCTGAGCTTTGCCAATAGGATTTTTTGGAGAACCTTTATACCAGATCCTTTCTTTTTCTGACGGTTTCCTAAGGACTCTGGTATTTATCCCAGGAGAAAAGCCCATATTATTATTTACAACAGATTTTAATATGTCATGATTTGTCAGGTCATCCAAGGGAACCTTAATTTGATCATCAGATACTACTTCCTGTTTACAAATTCTGGGAGACCCAAGAGAAGCATTCTTGGAGTCTGGGTACCTCTTCATCCTTGAAAAAGACTTGTAAGTTAACTCCATGCCGGATTTTGAAATTGCATCAACATTTGGCTGTTCACATGCTGTAAACTTCTGTTCTTTAGGACCTGATTTGATACTTGAAATCAACGAATCTTTTGATGTACTTTCTGTACCAGAGGAAAGGGCACTGTCACAGCTCACTGATTTAACCAGAGGAGAAGTGGCATCACCGAGACTTGCCGATTTGTGCCTTACAGGTTGTCTGCTATACTCCAACAAGGAGTTAATCCTTCTGACAGACTGACGGACAGGTGTACGCTGAAACTTAAGAGGCGACCTAACTTTGGTCCTATTTGGTTCGTTGAGAGAAAGCTTGTTAAACCACTGTATGTGGTCTGACACCCTCCCGTGCTCTGTCATTTGTGAGCTTTCAGGGCTGGTTGTATGGCAGGTTCCCCCCAGTGACTGCTGCTGAATGATTCTCACAGGCCTCGGTTCTGGTAAGTTTGTTATATTACATGTAATCTGCTCTGAGGAAGAGAGGTCAGCTGCATCCTCCCTAGAAGCTGCACATTTCAGTAAGAAGTTCTCTTCAATCATATTCTCATTCTCCTTTAATTGAGTATTTAGTTTATCCCTTGGGGACTGCTGTTTCTTTATGTGTTCATCACTAGGCAATTCTGGCTTGACTGAATGATCTCTAGGTATATCTGAATGGATGCTTTTCTCATGTTCAGTCTTCATATGAGTTGAGTAAAATGTTATAGTTGCTTCTCCACCCGATTTTTGAGTTTGATGTAGTGAGATGTCTTGTTCTGAAAAACTATTTTCATCTGTTTTAGTTTGATGTTCATCTGATTCTATCACAGTCAAATCACTAGTTT